AGGAATCATGGGCCATATTCTTGTCCTAGATTTTATCCTGCTCTCCATGCTATTCTGGTTTGAAGGCTGAAGAGGGAGTAAGCTTGGGCTAGCTTGCCCAACTGCTCTCATTGGGCCAAGGATATGTAACTCTGGAGAAGTCAAGCGGAGTACTTTGCTGAAGTGAGTTGAGCTCATGGGTTTGCATAAGTCTTAGATGGATGAGTAGAGAAACAGAACGACAGGCCAGGTGCCTCAGCTTAATGGGGGTGCAAGCAAAGAGGGCTTCTGGCTATGCCCAGGATGGCTGGAGGTGTCAGCAGGAGTTGTTTAGGAAGCTGAGGAGGGTCTCCCATGGGGAAGCTTGAGCCCCCTCTGGCCATACAAAATGAGTGGCACCTGTTGGCTCCTGAAGCTTCACGATAAATGTGATGCCTCCTAGGTTTTTTTACTCTCCTACAGATTTCACATTCAAACTTTTGATACCTTTCATTCCTTTCTGTAACCCACAGATTGAGACTTCAATGATATAAAACAAGATGAATTCTGTACAAAAGTTCAGTAGAAGTCAATCTGTGCAAGGCCTAGGGCAGACATATGCAGCCTTGCCCACCATTCCACCCTAGAATGACAATGCCACTTAGGTTCAAAATATCTGGACTCTGCAGTGGGTGCTGCTGGATGGCGTTTGGAGCATCTGCACCATGCAGACCCAAAGAAAAATGTACAGAACATACTGTTACCCTCCAAGTCTTGGTTGGGCTGTGGGCTGTCCCATAACATCACGAGGGTCACAGTTTCTGAATTCTTGCTCTAAGCTAATAGGGCATTTCCTTCAAGTTGTGAATTGAGAAAAGCCTGTTTTTATCACTGTTGGATATGAGGGGAACTTACAGTTCCCTACCAAAACGCTAAAACTGGTTAAAGGGGTAGCAAATGACACAAGAATGTAATCTTCGGAGTCAAAATGGAAAGTGCAAGGATATCATGAGAGTTAAAAAGAAGAAAGGTAAATTCCATGTTAGGGAAAGGATTAAAAACAAACCAGCAATTAGCGCTACAGCATTCTTGATATCTATGGCACACCCATACGTAGAATACAATATGCAGCTCTCATCTAACAAGGGAAGTTGTTGAAAATAGGTTAAAATGGGCAGCTAAAACCAGAGGGTTGGAGCATCTTCCCCACAAAGGAAACAAAAAGATGAGTTAGGGGAAGAAAGAGATTTATGAAATCATGAAGGTATGTGAAGAGCACAAATAACATCTCAAAATAATTATAGCCCAGTCAGGGTATTTTTTAAAATATATATTTTTGTAACTGGAGGGGGCAGCCCCCTTCTATCCCAGTGGTAGCTTTACTTCTCAAGTATGGGCTGGACAGCTATACTTTCTCTGGATGCACACTCTATTGTCAGAGGTGGGTGAACCATAATTGACAACAGGTGAGGGAGCACACATTTAGAAGAGGACAGTCTCAGCACCCCCACACACCATCCTTGGATAGCTGCTGGGATCCCTTGTGGCAGATCTCAGAGCTCTCCAGCTGGGGACAACACACCACTGATCAGAAGTTCTGCTGGCACCACTACCAGTGGGTGAGCTTGTAAGGGGCCTCTAGTTGGGGGGGGGGCTCACCAGAAGGTGATCTGCCAAGGGCCCCCTCATATCTAGGGCTGGCCTTATTGCATACTAACACACAAGTGAGCATACCTCTCTCCTCAGTGGCAGTAATGGCTGCAGGACTCTTCTTGGCCTATACCTGTAGTCCAAGTTAAAACAGGGGTGTGCCTCTACAGAGCTCTCTCCAAGATTTTTCCTTGCACCAAGATAAGCAGGAATAAAAGAAACAGGGCAATGGCAAAGTGCAACTAGCATGAACACGCCTTCAACGCATATGGATTCCGGCTGCCACTACCTAGCACCTGGGAGCATCTGGGCTGATTCTAGTGGCTGGTTTCCAAGACTATTCTTACAGCGGTTACTTCAATAGTGTTAGCGCCCCCTTCCTCTTGTGCCAGGACGGAACATGCCATAACACTGATATTACTTCATAATTGTGTCAATCTTTTCACTTCAATTAAAGTCCAAATCTCAAGTACAGTGTGGACTGCTCCTAGCTAACATGAAGCTGGAAAGCGCAAAGCCTTGAGGTTGGGTTGCTAGAGACTCCAGTCTCTACCACTTCGCTCCAACAGGATGGATGAGGGCAGATATGTCTTTGGTTTTTTTGTTTTTGTTTTCCACGTGAGGTTTCCAAATGGAGGTACCTCTTGGTGATCATGCCAAGGCAGTTCCTGAACACAGGGCCTTCCTTGGGCCAATGCAGCAAATGCAAGTGGGGTGAATAAGGCCATTTGGTATTGGGGAGAGGATTGATCAGAACCATGGTTTGGTGATAGAATCAGGTAAATGGGAGTGGGGCCTTGTCCTCACAAGGGTAAGGTGTCCATCTAAGAGAGTGAGCAAGTTGGTTCTGGACCAAGATCGAAAGAGTGGCAGGAAGGAGTTTGAGCCAACATGGATTTGTCAGGATTCTCACACTAACCTTCCAACTTTCATGCAATGAGATCCTAATGAAGAATACAACCCAAACCTGTGGAAACAGCAACAAGGGCGTCAAAAGCCCCACAACCCAATTCCCTGTGCCCTTTGAAAGTATGACTCGGATATAAAACAAAATGCTTCTGAAAACCATTAGTCCCTATTTCTGAATCAAGTATAATTACATTAGGTTGGGTGGAGGGGGAGATGACTCTAGGTGAAAAAGTCTGTGCCTATTATATGCCATGTCCCTAGATCTAAATGATGTCAGATCAAGCTTTGTGAGCTACAGCTGTATTGGGTTTTAGGGTTACACAACGCGTGTTCTTCTCTTTCTTTGTGGCCAGCCTTTAACTGGGTTCTTTGCAGAAAATATCAATATGGGCACATGACAAGCTTCTCTTTACCAAACATGATCAAGGGGCATTCTTGGATGCTGCAAACATGCAGTTGCTAGGGGAAGCGACCATATGAACAGGCCTAGCACAATGATAACACAGGCGAAGACGGAGCAAGAAACTGAAAGAAAGAAGAAAGCTCACTGTCATCAGGGTTAGTGCTGTCTCCTGATGGAAAAGGAGGACTTGATTGATTGTGCTGCCACTGTACAGGGCAATTTAATATTGGCTCCTTGGGTCTTAGCTTGTGGCACTGGGGTAAGAGATGTAAGCAGGCAACAAGGAGTGACGATGGCTCTTCTTTCCTGCCACAGTATGGCACAGAGAAAGGAAGCCCCTGCCTATTCCAAGGAAGGTACACTTCTAAGAATGCCAAACCCTCGCCTTCTGCTTTTGACCAAGTCTCTTAGCAATTCCATGAACTGGGAGAGGACAAAAGATGCAAAGATAATAATTAAAATAAAATAAAAGCAAGAGAACAAACATTTCAAGGCTCCAAGTGGCAAAACCACACACCATTTCCCTTTTTGATATAATGTGACATCTAGCCTGGAAATTTCTAAATAGGTAAGACGTGGCTGCTTAAAAATGATGATGATGAAATGAAACTACTCTGTCCCCTCTTAAAATTCTTAAAAGTGAAGGATTTTTTCTGTAACCTACAGCATTACAGCATCTTTGGGTCTTGTAGTAAAAGTGTTTTTTCCCCCACCCACAATTCCAAAGTGGCAGTTAATGAGAAAATAACCAACTTCATGTGGAGATGTATGAAAAAGGTACCTCATCCGGCAGGAAAGGGGAAATGCTTCAAGGTCACAGAAATGACGCAGTATATGTTATATATTACATAAAAATTGTGCCAAAATGTTTTTTTTCCTCTTTTTTGATTGTAAAAATCTGCTCTCGGTGGGTTTCCCCCAGTTGTCTTTGTCAAGGAAGGGATTTTTTCCCCCATTTTCCCTTCCATGCTCCCATACCACACATGGGGCCAGAGCAGAGCTGAGTACCATATATCTATATATATTATATAGATATAGATATATTTAAAACCCAGACAGAAAAGTTCCTTGGTTTGTTTTTCCTTTTTTTCAAGTGAGTAAATCAATTCTCTGATTTGTTTTTAGGTTTTCATATTTACAGCATTTCAATTGGTATCACATCCCCCGCTTCCCAACCCATTTGGACCCCGCCCACCGCCCGCCCCGGAGATATGGTGCCTCTAGGTGAGACTGGTTGCTTCCCCAACTCTCCCAGGCCGAGAGTTGGCGAGAAAAGTCGGAGTTGTGCTTGAAGAGGGAGATTTGCTATTTCTTTTTCCTTTGGGTGGAAAAAAAGTGCAGTCTGGGTTAGTGTTTTTGTTGCTGTTTTTGTTGCTGTTTTGTTTGTTTGTTCTGTTTGTCTGTTTTTCTGAAGGACAATCCATCCAGTCTGGGGGGCGGGGGAGAGTTCAACACTCCTACTTTCTCCCATGTAGTCCCAAATGTGTTCTGACGGCAGCCATATTTGCATTGCAGGATACTCCTGACGTTTGCGTCTTCGTGGGCAGGAATGAAACAGAAGGAAGGTGAGAGCAGTCTTGCATCACTTTCTAAATGTCTGGAGCTGGAACTTAGCAGGCTGTGGGGGCGACTGGTGGAACTGAGTGAAACGGGAAGAAAAGCCCCCTCCGCTACCACCACCCCACCCCTCATCATCTCTTACTTATTGTGCAATTTTACGTCAGGCTCGGTGGCCCTAAAGCAACTAGGAGGGGGAAAGGCCACCATGTGTGGCCATACAAATGAAAAAAAATCTAAGGACAGCCACACCTCAGTGCAACTTCCTCCTTCCCCAGAAGCAATGGTGCATTTCAAACATTCCTATGTGGGCTTTAATTTAAAAAAATAAAGAGAGAGAGAGAGGAAAGAATCAAAGCAAACCTTTCCTGCCAATCTGAAAGAGCTGAAGAACTTGATGCAAACCCTGTTGATAAACCGTGACAGTCAACAAATACTGGAAGGCAGGTTCTCAGCATAGCGTTCCCTGAACAGCTCCTTCCTCTCCCCCCACCCTCATACCTTTCTCTATCTTTTGTCTCTCTTTTTTGGCAACGGTTGAATCTCAACCCCGACTAGGCCGAGTGCCACATGGCCCTGTTTGTCCCTCGTGCTCTTAAGCTATGGGAGGCGAGGGGTGGGGAGCAGGCTCTGAGCCAGGGAGCAGGGCAGGGCATTTCCCCAGGTGCCCCAGTCTCTGCATGTGGAACCCTCATGGCTTGGATTTTCGTAACATTTTAAAAAAAATATTATTATGTCAACTTTTTAACTCCCCCCCTCTAATTTCTTGGTTCATCATCCCCCCCCCCCCGCAATTGTCTAGAAGGTATTGTCAAAATAAGTCTCATCCTTTTGCCTAGATTCAGCTCTCTTTCCTCCACTGCATTTATTTGCCTGGAGAAGGAAAACGGACATAACCAGATAGGCCACGTGCCACTTTCTGTCTGGAAATCTAATTGGATGGAAGGAAAGATGGACAAAATGGCTGCCCCTCCCTTCTCCTCGGAGAAGCCCTCTGCCTCACTCAGCTCTTTCTTCCACCTTCTCTCCTCCATTCATTCCCCAGCCCTGTGCCATTCTCTTCTTCCCCACCCTTTCTTCCAGGAAAAAATTAAAATGTTCAGGTCACGGCAACAGTGCCGCATTGGGGTTTTTTTGGGGGGGGTGTTATGGTCCCTCAGTCCCTTCTCAGCCCCTCAGAGACTGGTCACCAGCTGCATTTGGCCATCTCCCTCCACTGCTGGGTTTTCTAAGCTTCCTGGGACCAAGTAGCCATCATTGCTGGGTCTCCGGACTTGGTAGTAGGCCTGGAGCTGGTTGCGCGGCACCAAGGCTGGCCGATTGGTATAGTAGATTTCATTGATGGCTTGGGCATGAGGAAGCACTTCCCCAACTGCCTCAGGGCTGCTGTCCGGGTATGGGGAGTCCCTCAGGTTGGTCATACTGGTGTATAAAGAGTCCCTGTTGGGGGAAGGGGCTTGGCCATCGCCCCCCTCTGTCAGGTCAGCTGTGCAGCTCTCCGACTCCTCCAGGTCACTCTGGTAGAGGATGGACTGTGCCCTCTGAAGCAAGAGCGGCTCCTCTAAGGCCTTATACATGAGTTCAATTTCCATGTTCTCCTCATGGGTCAAGGAAGGGGCGTCAGGCACAATGGCGTCATCCTCATTGTTGGTACCCCCTCCCCCTGCAACTACGTTGGGAGGGGGAGGGGGCCCAGGGGGGTTGGAGGTCTCAGCAGAACCCCCGCCCCCCTTGACCACGCCACTGCCTCCCCCTCTCAAGTTGTTATGCACCAACTCGGAGATGATCATTTTTTCAAAGGCGGCGGCGTCACTCAGGTTGCGTCGGCAGTCGGCCATCTTGGTGCCATCGGTCGGGAAGTCGCCACTGCGGAGGGAGTAGCTGTTATTGAAGTTGCCATTGAGCGGGAGGGTGTCCATGCCACAGGCGTCTCGGCTGTTGTTCAGGGGGTGCTCTGTAAAGGTGGGCACATATATGGGTATTAGCGGGAGGAGGCAGGAGGGAGGGCATGAGCAACTAATGTTTAGGCCACAGAGCAGAAGCCATCACTTGGGAACTAAGTTCCACTTGGGCAGACGGTCCGTTCAAGTGGTATGTGTGTGTGCCGAGGAAGAAAGCGGATAAGAAGTGTGTGTAAGAAATATGTAGGGCTTTTACACGGGGAGAACTGGCTTGTGTGTATAGGAAATGATGGCAGCAACAAAAATGGAGGTAGAAGCTAAGAGAGATGAACCTGAAGCTGAGGCTGCATGAGTGGGTAATTTATTTAACTGAATTGAAAGGGTCAGTGAACATTTCAAGCAAGTAAGGCTTCTCTGAGAGTTCCTATATTGACAAGGTACTCTCTAAGACTTGATTCACACAAATAATAACAACTGTGGGATGAGCTATTGTTTCGGTTTGCTACTATGGTATGTATTTTTGTGTTTTTATATTGTAAACCACCCCATCCTCATCCTCTGATGAAGGGCAGTATAGAAATCTAATAAAAATGAAATAATAACAGTAACAAGGCAATGCCCACGTGCATCAGAAATCCCCTTCATTCATTTTTTCGGAATCCCAGGGAAGGGAGGCAGAGCCTTTTCCACCAGGGCCCAGTTCAGATCAAGAAGACAGGCTCCCAGCAATTGGCCACTGACCGAGCTGCTCTTCAAGCTTTAGCTCTTCTCCAGGGAGCAGATGAAGGTGCCACAGATATATACAGAATTCTAGCATTTGCCTTTGCCAGCAGGATAGCACAGCCAGCCAGAATGGGGCAGGGCTGCTTGTGCCGCAGCACCAGCAGCCCCTTATCTTCCTTCTCCTCTTCTTGCCAGCACAGGGTTAACCAGACACTGCTCCTTTCTACAGGTCTCCAAAACAAGCATAGGAGGACTCTGATGCACGTGGTAAGATGTGGCTTCGGTTTGGGGTTTGTTTGTTTTAAAAAGAACATATAGAACTATTGTCCTTGAATAAGATGTATTTGTTGATAATCTTTGGGATACTCTTCTGTTAAATTTAATCTGTTTTTTTCAACAAGCATCAGATTGCAGTTCACTTCTCTTTTTTATTGTCTAGTGTAAGCAATAAGCGCAAGATTCAACTACATGTGAGTTAGGTATGCATGTGTGAAAGTACTGACACTCGTGTGGGAAAGAGGAATGTGGTTTGTTGAGTAAGATAGCAAGAGTGCAACTAAGGCATAACCTCTAAGGTGACGTGAGAGGGAATAGCCACGTTGGCATGGCTGCTGAGCCGCACACAGCCACATGCATAACACGGAGCACGCAAGTTATCTGATCTGCCGATGGAAGAAGCCTGCGGTCTCCCCCCAACAAAGGGTGACCTCTGGGGCTGGAGGGACCATTTGTCAGAGATGGTACAGTCAGCCCATTAGAGCACGGGGTGCACACTAGGTTAACGGGCCCATGGTTTCAACCCAGCATGCAGGGATGGGAAGGTTGGGTATCGCTGAGCTCTGCGGATGCATTTAGCTCCATCTAGTGCCCACAGCCAGAATTGCGCAAACCATGCTGCACCACCACCACCCTCCGAGAAATGGGAACATGAGTAAGGGAGGAGTTCCCTCCAAAAAGCCAGCACTCCTTCCTATTCTCCCTACACACCCGCTACTTGGCTCACATCTGTGCTGCACCCACCCCCAGCCTGCCAGTCAAACTAGCAATGAAGGAAACATTACTGCGAAATGGAACTGGAAAGGAGGGACGTACTGGACTCTCGGAAGCTCCCTGCAGGCAGCAACAGTTGGGAAAGGGAGAGAAAAGAGAGAAAGAGTGTTATCCAGGTGGCTGGGGCCAGAAATGCAAAATAAGACATGGCCCAAATCCTCCCTGTGGCCATAGCTCAGTGGCACAGCACCAGGTGTTTGCTCCCTGGCATCTTTAGGTAGGGCTGGGACCCTGGGGAGCCACAGCCAATCAGTGTAGATAATACTGAGCAAGACGGACCAATGGTCTGTCTCAGCACAAGGCAGGCTCTTATGCACCGGGAGAGTAAAGGAGGAGCTCCTCCACTGCCAGTTCTCCTGACCCATTCCTCCCAGCACCCGAGGCTTGAGGAATTACTTTTTCACCAGATTCCAAAGCAGAAATCTCAGGTGTTCTTTTTTGCTTTCTACCTACCCTCATTTTCAATAAGGAAAATGTGTTTGTGTGTGCAAATGGAACCCTAATTCAGTCTGGGGCATCAGTCTAGAGGGGAAAGTACGTTATCCTGGGTGACAATGCCCTTACCTGGGGAGTTGAAGACAGGTGGGGAGGCAGGGTTGAAGCCCACGGACTCAGCAATGAGTGTGTTGTAAGGACTGGTCCCGCCCCGTGTCTGCAGCACGGGGTTGGTCAGCAGGTGGTTCCCCATTGTGCCTGCAAAAAGTAGTATAGGCAAAGGTGTTAGCACCATGGAGGTAGAAAGTGACTTGAGCCTCCACATCTGGGGTTGGAGGAAAGGCTGGAGATGGAGAGGAAACTGAGTAGCTTGGCTCAGGGGGGAGGGGAAGAGTCATGGCCATGTGAGCAGAACTACATTGGAGGCCACCAAAGATAGCCGAGGAGAAAAGGTGACTTTCTGGGAGAAACTGATACAGAGCGGTGTTTGGTAGGGATCTCTTTCATCTGCTTGGCTGTAGAGAGTGGGCCGGGGAGCAGCTTTAAGGGTGGGGCAGGAACCTTAGTCAGGTGTGTGGGTACAGGCCTGCCCTCTGGCTCACAAAGGAGTTGCAGGAAATGATGGAAAATACAGAGTGACTGCTCACCTCGATTAAGGGTGGGAGTGCTGTTGAGATCACCCGCCATAAAGCTGGACTCAGTTTGCTTCCTTACAGTATCATTCCACATTCTCCGGATTCGGCTCTGAAAAGACAGTCCCACTCTGGATTCAGTAGGGCAACTAGACCCCCAGGGGTATTGTGGTCTAAGAATATGTCCCAGCCTCTCCTGTTCTCCAGACCAGTAACAGCAGCACCCCCCCCAGGCCAGTCTGCCCAATGGTACCTGCGTCCCAGTGTAATAACGGTTGTTGCTGCGGATGGCTGAGGTCTTGAGGGAGCCCAGTGTGGCCCCTGGCGGACTCCGTAGGCAACAGGATGCGTGTCGCAGGCATTTGCTGAATTCCCGGTGAACCTGGTGCATTGTAGGGAGGAGAGTCAAGGAAGGGGGAAAGACATGAATTGTCTTGGCTACAACATGGTCATTCAGGCTGGCTTTGCCCTCTTAGCTAAGCCTTTCTGTCACAATCTTTACCTTCACCAGGGCATCAATGTTCTGAAGGAATGGGTTTCCCAAATCTAAAGCGTGACTGTGCAGTCAGCCGGAAACGGGCCCCCAAATCCCCATTTTTCAGTTCCATCAATTAATTACTTAAATTTATGAGTTTAAAACATTTACTTAAAAAGGGTCACAATTAATCGGGCAGATATTTTCTGAAGATGCAAATACTTATTAAAAACTGCAGGTGGCAAGCATCATCTTAAAGGAGCATTCCCCCCTTTTCTTTCACGCACAGGAGGGAATGATTCTTCTAAGAATGATTCTTCTGCTATGCTACATGAGTATGTTATTTACAAACAAAGACAAAGACCTGTCTTCCTTCAGAAACTATTTTCTTTACTTCTATGCAAACTTAATTGATTAATTAACTAATTAATGGACTAAAACTTGTTTAATTGACTCGGTGTTTCTTGTTTTTTAATCAGGCAATAGTCCTATGCAATTCCTTTCAACTTGAACCCAAAGCCCTTTGCAGAGTCAATGGTTCTCTTCTCTTTAAGGCCCCTGCATCCCCAACATGCAAGCAAGGTTGACAGCTCTAGCCAATGACCCTGGGTCTCTTAAGTCCCTCAGCCAGCACCTTAGAATACCAGCTCCCATTGTTCTCCACAACTTTAAGCAAAAAGTGTTGTCCTTCAGTTCTGGACTACAGATACAGTGGTACCTCTGGTTAAGTACTTAATTTGTTCCGGAGGTCCGTTCTTAACCTGAAACTGTACTTAACCTGAAGCACCACTTTAGCTAATGGGGCCTCCTGCTGCGTTGGGCCGCTGGAGCCCAATTTCTGTTCTCATCCTGAAGCAAAGTTCTTAACCCGAGGTAATATTTCTGGGTTAGCGGAGTCTGTAACCTGAAGTGCATGTAACCCGAGATACCACTGTACTCACCTTTTTCTGCAGTGCACAATGAAACACGAAGATGAACATGCCCTGGAAAGCATTGAAGGTGGTGAAGAGATAGGCCATGACAACAGACTCCTTGTTGATGAAGAGGAGACCAAATGCCCAGGTGAGGCCCAGGAGAAAAAGGAGAGTGATTGCCCCGAGTGCCCAAGACCTGTAGAAGGAGACACTAGTGAGTTCAGGGAGTTGGGAGTCCTCACCAGAGCAAAACTAGTCTCACATCTCCCTGCTGTTATGCTATAGATGCCTCTGTACAACTTCTGGCACCAAAGAAACAGTGAGACAATGTTAGGGGGATGGAGAGAGAAAGATGGGCAAGGAAGTCAGCATGTGGGAGATTCTCCCATGGTTTGCTAGTGAGGGAGTTGTATGTCTAAGAATTACCAGCCAAATTGTTACTACAGACCTCCAGTTATTCTTGGCCCAGAAATGTTGACCAAACTGCCTCCTTACATTTAACCTTTGTTGTTACAAACGGCTTCCATTTGCTGAATACAAACACAAATCATGGGACTTGTGTACTACCTGCCATTTCCTAACAACACACCATAGTCCCAAATGTTAGTTTGGTGGTCGCTCGACCATTCGTTTGTTTGTTTTTTGTTTTCTTTCTCTTAAAGCTTCATAAGCACTTCCACACTTGAGTGTGCTCAGACTCTAAAGGGGCTTTTCAAAATGAAAGGCTGTGAAATGGCATGGCCATATATTTGTCACTCGTCAGCCGTGAGATCAAAGGCGCACTCTCTAGTAGGTGCCCAAGAGACGGACGCTAGACTTACTTCCAAGCAAACATGGTTAGGATTGGCTCAGGAGTATCCTCTTACTGTCACTTCTCCCAATCTTTGCTCTTTGAGTGGAAAGAAGTGATCAACTGTCTATTTGTACTTTGGATGAAAAAGACAAAACTAAAACCACAAAGTGTTGCTGTGTTTATTTCTGACTGAGATTTGGCAACTAAAATAAACACAGAAAGACGGCAGGAAGCAGGCTGCAAAACCACACCAGCAGTAAACAAATGCACTGGAACTCTTTGGTAAATGAACTAAAAAGAGCAGGACAAGCAAGCATGTAAAAACTGGGCTGGCAGACAGAAGTAATGGTTATATTGCAGGTAACAGTGTTAATTAGCAAAATTAAGGCTGCAATCAAAAATATGGTTATTTTGAAATATAGCCAACTTAAATCAGTAAGGCTTACTCCATGTTTACATGGTTAGGCTCTAATAAATTTTGTAAGAGGTAACCTGCAAATTAGGATCAAAATACACGTGACTTGGAGTTCTGTTACTTTAATTTTTCTTTTTAACAAAGAGCAACCGTTTGTGTGCATGCGCATACAGAGGGCTGTGTGATTTGGATCAGGACAATAGCACAGAGAAAGTGTGGTCTACCCTTTCCCCCCTTCCTTGGTTCCATGAGGTTCATACTTTCTTAGTTCAGTTTTCATTAATGTTTGAGCTTCCCAGCTCTCTTTTTTTATTTTTTACTGGGCTCCTCTGGATCCTTGAGAGGTTCAGCAGCCTCCTCTGTCCACAGCACTTCCTCCAGCTACTTGGGTTAAGTATTGTTCTGGGTCACTTGGGCAAGGTAAAGGGAGTTTATAAAGCTGTTAGGATTAGCTGAACTGCATTTCTCCGCTTAGTAGACTTTAAGCTATGAGTATTTTTTTTTTTTAACCTTAACTCAGCATTAACCAGGGTGTTCTCCCCACCTCTAGATTATTTTGTATGAATGAGTGTAAGAAGATGTGAACTTGTGAGTAACGCATGGCTTTTGACAGACTGGCATTTGCAGGCTATTTGCAGCACTGAGCTTGACAAATTCCCTCAAAGTGTCAGAACTCTAACCTCATTTGCTGCTTGACTCAGACAGCTCCACTGTGCTGACTGAATGAAGCAGCCTCACTCTATTCATCTGAGAGGGTGACAATTCCTTTCCTGAATATAAGGACACACTCTTAAAACGAGAGAATGCTGGTTTCACAGGAGCCTTTGCAGCATGGTGGGTCGTGAGAAAGAGAAAGGAAAAGAAAGAAAGATCTACTCGACATCAAGATGGCCAGCAGTCCAAAGCCTTTGGTGAAGGGATCAAACAAAAGCTTCATAATGTTGCCCAGTGTAAGCTGAGTGAGTCAACCCATATCCCAGCATTCTGAAAGGATCATCTGAGCCCATAAAGCACTATGCTTTGGCCTCTAGCCTGTTTACTCCCAGCTGTAGGTCACTCAGCTGAGTGAGACACTGCTGAGATAGATGGAGTCCTCGATATCATGGTCTGGGCAAGAGTCCGGTCCCTTTAAACCCCAAGTTGTCTGTTTTCTCTGCTCTGGCTTTGTCCCACTAAGCTGTTTTAGAAGAACCAAATACAAGGCACCACAGGAATCTGAAGGCACTGGAGGTGTGCTATTAAGGTAGGGAGAAGTTTGGATCTAAGCCAGAGGATGAAAAGGAATCCAAACATAAACTCACTTGATGTTGTCCAGTCGGCTGGAGTCAGGCTTGAGGACCGACGTGTTGCGGATCATCTTGTGCAGAGTGATCATGAGGAACACCAGGTTGATCTGGGGGATGTGTACAGATGGATGTGAGCAGGGGAAAGGGAGTCCTCTGCAAAAAAGCACCTCCTACTTTCCCCTGCTAGTGGCTTTCCCCAGATGCAGGGGAAAGGGTTTGTCAGTGTCAGTGTCTGTGTGTGATGGGAAGGAATGAGCAACATGAGATCCCAGGCTAGGACATGCCATTTTAGGAGATGAAACTTAATTTTTGCAAATTTCTTCAGTGAGGGGCCTTAGAAATAAGCTTTGGGATGTGAGGAATTCAAATCTGCTATTATTTTTGTGATTGGACAACATTCAGCTTGGCAAGACTACACTTGATGAAGAAGCAAATAAACTGCTTTCGGAAAACCAAATAATTTTAATTTTACCTTCTGAAAATGTCAGGTAATGTAAATAATAATAATAATAATAATAATAATAATAATAATAATACTGCAAGTACTTGGCAACCACTTTCAGTGATTTCTACACAATTTTACACACATTCTGCTTACCAAGAAAACCTAAATTATATTTATGTAACCAAAATGTCTTTTGAATTCCCAAGTCATGTTGCAACTTTTAAGCACCTCTCATATTTGCAATTTGAAAGTTGAAAACACACCCTACACCCAGGCACTCTGGGAAGAAAAAGGGAGGTCTGATGATGGGTTGAGGAGGAGAGCAAGGGCTCCGGTTCTTTCCTCAATTTTGGGACTCTGATTCTTTGACTGATAAGGGAAATCCTTGAGTGTCTATTCCCAAACAATCCCTAGTGACTCACCACAATGACAGAAGAGACAGGCCCAATGAAGGTCCAGATGAAGTAGTTATCAACTCGAAGCCAACATCTGCCAAAAGAGAGCAGGGAAGTGTCAGATGGAAGCAGGAAAAACACCTCAAGGCTTGATTGCCTGAGTGCTTATTGGCACGAGATGACACTCACCCAGAAATGTGCTGTCAAAACCTTGCCTGTTCTCTGCTCATTCTTCTGCCCTGCCCCTCTGTCATAACATCCATTAAAGGACTTCTCATCCCGTATCTTTCAAGTCACTCGAACCCACCTCTAATCTTGTTTTGCCAGTTCTGTTGCCAACCTTTTCAGGCTCATGGGCAAATTTGGGTTTCTGAGCAAGTGCTGTGGGCACCATCCCCTCTGGCCACATCTCTCCTCACTCCCTTGGTTCAGCCTGCCCTGCCTCCCCCAAGAGAGAGAGAGGAAGTCTGGGGAAGTCAGCTATAGTAGAAAATATAAGCCTGAAAAAGAGCATAGAACTAAAAGAGGAAGGGAGAGACTGTCACTCTTCCAACTTCCTACTATGTACTTTTCAAGAGAGAAGAAGGTAATCATCCTCTCCACCTCATGATCAAGGGGCAGGGCAGCTCAGAAGCTTCACGGGTGTCAGGGGAAGATTGCCAGGGTGTCCCTAAGTGTTGCATTGGCAACCTCTACTGTGGCGCTCCTCCTCCCACCGTTAGCGTAGAGTTATGTGTGCAGTGTACTAGCCTCTCCCCCCATCCCCCAGTTATGCCTCAACCTCCTGTTTTTATCATTGCCATGCACCGTCCACTAGCCTCTCCCTTTGGCCTTCCATGTACTCACGCTTTCTCGGTGCCATAACTGCGGTAGTCAATGGCGGCAGCAATACCCACAACCAGGGCAGGGAAGCAATAGCCCCCCAAGTAGTAGTACTTCTTGCGGGAGTATTCGCTTTCAAAAACCTCAACCAGCATGAGGTAAAGGTGGATGGCTTCCAGGCACATCCAGGAGAACGCTGCCAGGAAGAAGTAGTGCAGCAGCCCTGCAAAGATGGGGCAGGCAATCTGGGATGGAAGGGGAGAGACAGAAAAAATCCCATCAGCACAATGCCTCTTTTTGTAATGCATTTATTGAATTAATTAAACAGCACACAATATTTATATATTTTTAAAGGCAGTGATGATTGGAAAAGGTGCTGCACTTTTAAAAATTGTGTAGTAACCACAAGGGGGAAAATGCCCACCCTTGTACCCTGCAAACGCACACAATTTCATCCCTGGGTCTGCAGTACCTCCTCATGACAACTGGACATGCCTGTGACAGCTGGCTGTTCCCGGCAGCAGTGGTGACTTAAGCAGAGGGGAACAATTGTGTTAACTGTCCACTTTCCAGGTGCTGCTTCTGTCACGAACAAGCACATGCCCATGCCTGGTAAACTGAGTCTGTTCTAGAGTGAGCTGAAACTTCCTGCAGATATCCCATTCCTGTTACCCCCTCCCCTCTGTGGCTGCACTGACTTGGCAAAGTCAAATGTTCCCCAGTGGGATCTCCATCCTGTCCTATTGTACCACATGCCCCTTGGTGACTCTCAACTCCCTCCATGCAGAGGAATATGCCGTGGTGATTTTGGTGTTGCTCTGAGGGGAGATTGTCACGCACCTCATACTGTGTCTTATCAATGCCGATGAGAAAGAGGAGTTCAGTGATGAAGAGGTTTATGCAGAGGTTCTTGTGGATGGTGTTGCGGTCAGTCTGCAGCCCACGCAGGAAGCAGAAAGTGGAGATGCAAATGGCCAAGCAGACCAGGGAAATCACAATGCCCACCCACGTGATGACAGACAACAGCAGCCCATTGATGCGGCCCTGGTACTGAAAGGAAAAGCGGAATGAGGCTGGATGTGCACAGCTTTCCTCTCCTGTTATATACTCTCCCCTGTTGTAGAGTTGAAATTTTAGGTTGACTGTAATACTGGTAGCACTTAATTTACCGTCCTCTGCCAATGGACTGTCTCCATCTAATAAACTGCCACCCTCCAAGTAACTGTTAATCCAGTGTATCTTTATTACGAACAGGGAAAGAACCAACTCCCAGTGTTTCATGTAAGAATAATGACCACCCTGATTTTCTGGGTTACCCATATGGACAAGAAGATACTGGGTGCATAATGAACTGGAAGGGGGACCTTGACAGTGGCTGGGGATGGTGGCAGAAAACCAGTTCTCTCTGCCCCCCAACCATTCTGGAGCATCTTCCCTCAGCCCCCATCAGTGGGAATGATATTCTTACAATTTCACGGTGTGCCATGAGCACAGCAAAGTTGGTGAGATGGCTGCATGCACAGGTGGTGTGGGTCGTGTTGGTCTCCACCAGCCGACAGCCCTGCGTGGACCAGTAACCCATCATGGAGCGCTCTGAGTAGTTCCAGAAAGAGCAATTGGCATTGAAGTGGTTCTTTTCCTATATGGAAAAAAATATGCCTGTAAGAATCGTCAATTACATGGGGTGAAGCCAGAGCAGTAGAGGGGCCCTAGGCTTTGAGAAGTTGGGATACAGGCAAATGGTTCATTCTGGAGAGAATGGGAGTGAATTGGCACATAATCAAAACATCAGCGTCAATGCACGTACAAAGCATAGAGTTTCCAATGTTGGGTGTATGTGTGCAGAAATAGGACACAGACCACCAAGTGCCATAGTGGGGCATGCCCTAGGATGTGCCAAAAATGGGGGAATGAGCACACTGGTTCCAGATGTCACGCAAGTCTCACCTCCAGGTGGGAGAGGGTAAAGATGACGGGGTCCATCAGGAAGACGCGGCTAGATTCCTTGTTGATGGAGGCAGCAATAACTTGTGAGTTGACAACAAGCGAGGGGCTAATTGAACCAACCTCACTACCCAGCTTGATGGTGGCATTCTCAGTAGAGAGGAAAAACCCCAAATTTTTGTAGAGAATGAAGACAACCTTGACCACCCCTGAAGAGAGAAGAAAGGGAATCAGGGCCATGATATTGCACCACAAAAAGAGGCAAATGTGGTTCTCATCACATTAGAGAAAAGGTCTTTGAGATCCTGGCGTCCCTTTCCCTCCCCGAATTTCGTTCCCCGCTCACCATTACGACTGTTTTGCTTGATAGTGTTGGCTGACAGTTGGATGGAATTCTTGGTGGTATATTCATGTGGGAAAACAATATCTGGCACTTGCCCCTCTGTATTCAACACTGACACCTCCAGCACTGCAATGAGGAGGAAGAGCGAGATGAATACAAGCAGGAAACATAGGCACAATATTCAGAACAATTTTTAATTATCCTCTTTTTAATTTGATTCCCCGCCCCATAAGTGGAGCGTATACCTTTCACATGTTACCTCATCTCTGGACTACCTGAGCAGCCATGGAGCGAGCCTGTTTCAAATTATACATCTGTCCTCGAAATGCTCTGTGGACACCAAATTGCCATCCCTATTTTGTGGCTGCTAACACTATATTTGGCGATAGTTTTTGTTTTGTTTTGCCCACATCTCTATGGTGAAGTAATGTGCTAAATGCAAAAATTCCGTGCAGGCATCTGTACCACTCCTGCCTGTTTCTTCCTTTGATTTGTTATTTCCACTCACTTATGAATTGCTGTTCTCTTTCTTTGTCTAAATAGCCTGAGCTATTTTGGAATTTTATTGCTTGCACTGCTGCTCTGGGGTCACTTAATCCAAGCAGCAGTGACATACAAGAGAGGATTTTCAGAAGACTAGGCTTTAATGTTTTGTTTTAAGAGCTTTGGGTTAGGTTTCCTACCAGAAATGAAAGTCCCCCCCCCCAGAAGATGCTTGAGAAAGCTGTCAGTTTATAGTGCTAAAGAACATGACTACTAGAATTGTCTGCACAAAAGAGAATTAGCTTGCACAACCATAATTGTCCAGATTTTTTGACAGTTCTGATCAAGCTAGTAACACCTGGTAGAATGCTCACTTGTAATAAAATGGTTTGGATGATGCTGTTGAAAGGTTTGGCAATAGTTGTACTAATGGATTCTATCTCATTAGTGGTTATCCAAGGCATAAAACATGGGTGGGTTTTTCCTCCTTCAATAGTGCAGGCTAACATGCTTAATTGGTTCCCTGATGTAATTTTATAGTTTTTGCCTCAGCCTTACCTTCTGCCATAAGCAGTTCCTTCTTCTTGTGCAAGAGCCAAACAATTTAGAGTGAACATCAACAGATACTGACATGTATTATTAAGCAGTACAGTGCCTGTCGGTATGTGGGACTTTCAGTGTGTGCACAGCCATAGAAGAGAGCTGCATTGGAAATCCAGCAGGAACAAGAGACCCACACAAGACCGGTGCTTATATAAATGTGTGCAGGGAAATGCACTAGGAATTTAGCGGGTGGAGGGCGGAGAGGGCATCCATCTCTCCCTCCTCGTATTACTCGCCCTTTTGCCTGCCTACTCTATCCCTTTTTGCCTCCCCTAATTCCAGCCTTCTCTTCCCTCCATGTGCTCCAGCTCCTCCTGCCCTTTTCTTCTCTACTTGCTTCAGCACCTCAAACTGCACCTCTTCACTCTGCTGCCCAGGAGAACTGTCTTCAGTGTAGCACTAGGGTTGGATTTCTTCAGTGAGGCTCTGCCATCTTGAAGGTTCTCCAGGTACAACAGTATGGTTTGGTGTTGTCACAGCAGGCAAGGAGAAAGGATTGGGAATATATGGTTCTCCATATGTTATTGGACTCCAGCTTCTATCATCTGTGGCCACCACAGCCAGCAGCCAGGGATGATGGGAGTTGTAGTCTAACAATATTTGGAGAGCCATGGGTTTCCTATTGTTGGCTTAGACACTCTGCCTCCCCAAACTCACACAGGTTTCAAGGCAATGCATTTTCAACTGCTTTCCCACTCGAAGCTAGTTCCTGGGTTGGGGTGCAGAGACATGCATCTTCAATACAATGCCTCTTTCCATCCCCTGAAAGCTCGTGCTTGCAATATAGGCATATCTTGGAGATATTGCGGGTTCGTTTCCACGCCACCAAAATAAAGTGAATCACACAATTTGTTTTGTTTTATTTCCCAGTGTATATAAAAGTTATGTTTACACTATACTGTAGTCTATTAAGCCAGCCCCCCCCCTTGCTTCACAGGCAAGAGGGGAAGAACCCAGCTCCAGTTCTAGCCAGCTCTACTCCTGTGGCCAGAAGTGGCAGGGGGCTTCCTTCCCCTGGAAGTGGCCAGGCTTCCACATCGTTTTAAGAAGCAATGTCTACAAAGCGCAGTATATATCTTGGTCACTCTACAGCACAACAAAGTGATGGAACCCAGGGAACTGGATCTATTATGTTATGATTGTTATTTCTATAGCACTTTCCAATTCTCATCAGCTTCTCATCATAACAATCTAGTCAAGTAGGTTGGCTGAAGTTGACTTGTTTGAGTAAGCTTCATGTCCAAAGAACCGCTTTCCGCAAGATAAATTTCTCTTAAAGACATTGCTTTTGCAAGGGAAATGGTGTGTGCACCCTGCATATACATTGTCCTGAGTAACTAATGCACACATACCTCTTACTGGACATATAGGAACTCCTAAGGAATCAGAGTCTGTGCAACTTTCTAAATGGCAGCAATGTTTAGGTAAGAAATTTGTCCAATGCACTACACAACAGATTTCCATGGTACATTTGCATGGTAGCAGTAGACGTGCTTTAAGGACAATCCCAGTGCTTATAAATAAGGGCTTTTCCCATACTTAAATGACAGCTCTTCCCTTTACTACCAGTATTTGATATTTCTTCCTCTCTACATTTAGAAGGCTCAGGCACTGTGTTTGCTCCCATTCAATGCAAAATTTTGAAGCAAAATGTTGGGGTCTCTGAGTAGGGATAACAGCCTCTCCTTGCCCCCCCCATCCCCTCTATTCCTTTCCTCCCCCTTTAGTTCTTCTGTATGAGCCCAGCATCAAAGACTTACCCACATTAGTCTTGGCAGTGACAAAACGGGCTGGCTCTTTGACATTGTCAGCCAGTAGGAAGGCTCCCTCCTCCAGGATGTCAAGCAGCATTGTGGCTGTGTGCACTTGCTCTGTGGCATTCATGTCCTTCCATGACTCTAGAGCTTCAGGTCGCAGCAGGTTGTCCACCGTCTCCACCACAGCCTAGAATGACATAGAGCTCTGAGAGAGGATGGAAGCACCCCCCCTTCCTCTAGCTTCCCATTGTACAATAAACCACCTACAGATGCCTCCTCTCACGGAGAGAAAACATTCATGTGTCTTTGTGTGGTGGCATTGCTGTCACCACCTGACAATTCTTTCCAGGCTGCTTTGAGTATAATTTTACAAGTAGCATTGGGATTTTTTTTAAAAAAAAATGTGCATGAACCACGTATTTGTTACTCCTTTGTTGTATAGGAATTAGACATTCTCCCTCCAAGCAGCCCTTCCATTGTAAGGGGGTATGGTATTTTCCAAATATTCCATAGCTGGGGAAAAGCAATTCTTCCCCTGAACAGCACAGGCATTGCAATCAACTGCCTTTGGTAATGCAGTTATGTGTATTGCACAGGCACCTACTAGAAATTGCCTTTGTTGAGCTCAATGATGAGCAGAACAATCCCGTATCTAAATGCCTATGCCATTTGCAACTGTTTTAGGTTGCTTTTCTCCCTTCACATTTTAGAGTCTGAACACTTCTCCATTGTATTATTTCTTCACTAGAGCATGTATTTATCGCCCATGTGCCCACAGAAATGCCCTGTCATTTCATGCTTTTCCTTTTTAAAATGTAGCTGAATTTATTATGTACTTGATGACTATTTAGGGAAGTTATGGAAAACAGCTGAAATGATGAAGCTATCCAATTATATCAGAGTAAAAGAAAATCAACAACAAATGGATAGTACTGTTGAAAACTGCTATTATTCGTACATTATTGGAACCAGAAATATAATGATAATGTACCATGATTTCCTTTAGTATTATGAGAGTTGTCTTTATGTGGTGTTCTTAGAGTAAAATAAAAAATAAATATTATTTTGTTATATTCTTCGAATCTATGTGTTTTCTCTTCCTCCCCCGCCTCCAGTTATGGAATGGGCATCTGTCATGATTTTTATAGGAAGGTGGAGGTGGGTTTTCCCAGGGAAAATGTTAGGACCAAAAAATAAAAAAATGCTCAGACACAGAACTTTAAAGTGCAGACCTGTGCCTAATAATGCAGTCTGGATGAGTCCATACTCTAAAATGGCCCTATGTTGTGACAGCTCCCATGCTGATGCATTAAAGAGGCCCAGATTGGGCCCATTTCCATTGAGGTCCTGCCCCATTTGTGTTTGGGGAGTTTCCACTGGTTAATACCAGCCCACCCATCATCTGGACAGGGGCTCTGGGACATGCCTTGCCCATGGGGACAGCTCTGCTCCACTCAAGCATGGGGACCTGGATTGCTCTGTGAGATTCAAAACTGAGAAAAACTTTGTTTCTTGGGTAGCAGCTCCTATCTGGGTTTCAACCACAGCACACACTCACCTTAATATAGTCCTTACATGTCCTTTCTCTCTTGTGCATCTGCAGGGGGATACATCCATGCCCAAAGTGAGCAATGGTTCAGGTGGACAAAGAGAGAGAAAATGATTAGAACGTAATTTCTACAAGAAGGGTCCACAGGGATAGGTTCAATGGGGATCTTAAGCACATTTGCTCTGGCCATGAAGTCACTCATCAACAGGCAGAGATAATGAAGGCATATCCTGAATGAAAGTGTGGATCCAAAGCAACATCTAATTGGACATTTAGATAAGATTTATTTACATTTGCTAGAAAGGCTGTTTGAGTGGCTGTACAGCAGCAGCATTTGGTGGACTTCACCTCAAAAGTAGCCATTTTCAGCATAAGCTGAATCAGACTATCACATCAGACTATTTATTAAGAAGTGGGTATAGGGAACTTTGTTATTAGGATTGCATCACACAGCATAAAATAGGGCAAGGACGTCCAACAGGTAGATCGTGATCTACTGGTAGATCACTGGACGTCTGTGGCAGATAACTGGCTCCCCCTAAAGCAGCTCAACAACTTTGGCTCCCCTAAAGAAGCTCAACATTTTAGGCCTGCACCCCCCAAAATGGAGGTAGATCACTGCCATTTTTTAACTCTGTGAGTAGATTGCAGTCTCTTGGGAGTTGATGACCCCTGAAATAGGGCATCCATTACAGAACTAGAATCTTTCACTAAGCTCAAAGATCTCAGCTTTCATTTCTAGCTCCCATGGTTATTGTAAAACCTGAATGCAGTTTCATGGTTTCTAGCTCCAACCCTTCACTCTCGGTGGCATCCTTCTGCCCCAACATCCATTGCTCCCAATGTCTATAAGCACCAATCTTCCTTTACCACTCCTTGTCCCCCAACACCATGTTGACATCTTTTTTCCTATTGGACTCTTGCACTTTTAAAAGCTGTGCAACAAGCAGAAATCCAACCAGTGACACCTTCACCATGCAAAAAGCTTTACTTGATGAATTGCTATCCCCCCTCCCAAGACCAATTTTTTTTGCATGAACTGGGGTCAGGCTCCTTGCCTGCCAGCCCTAAAACCACTGTCTAAGCCAGTGGCTTTCAACCAGTGTGCCGTGACACCCTGGGGTGCCTTGAATGGTGGTCAGGGATGTCACAGGCAACACTGGCCTGTGCCCCTCTTTTCTTCCCTCCCTCCGATGCCTTCTTGCATCTCTCAAAGTCTTGCACAGTTGTTTGTTGCAGCAGCCCTGGCTACAAGCTCCCCAGGCGAATGGTTCCTCTGGGGCTGGCCAGTGGGACTCAAAAAGGTTGAAAACCTCTGATCTAAGCCATTAAACTACTATGCACCTTGTTGTAGTTCTTGCCAGCTGACTCTCTCTCAATAGGGCGCAGCGCTTGAAGTTGTGCATCCAGAATGTCCAGGAGCTGCTCCATTAGTTTGACAGAGGAGCTGACATCTCCGGCGTAGATGGCACCACGCGTATGCCGGGCTAGCTCACTGGCAATATTGGCTGCATTCTCTCCACTCTTGATCTGCCAAAGGTGGGGAAAGGAATGCAGACTGGCCTCAGTCAGGTAAAAGGAGCTGTGCATGCATGAAGCCCAAATGTGAACTGTCTGAGTGAAGACCACTGTAATGGGAAGGGGAAAGCAATACCTTCTGTGCCACTTGGTTGACCCAAGGACTTGTGCAGTTGCTGAGATCAGGCCCCCGTGGGTTCCAGTTTCCCTCCGAAGCAAGACACTGGAACGAAGCAATACCTGTGCACAGGAAAGCAGGGGGAGAATTCAGTCAGCTTCCAGCTGCTTGGTTTCCCCCTTCCACCCCCACCCTATCCCAACACTAGACCAGAGATTAAGGGTCTCAGAGAGCAATCATAACCTTAGTAGTGAATGAAGAGCTCTCTTCCTAGACAGTCCAGTTCTCACATCTAACTAATATAGCAAGGAGTACAGAGCAGGGATAAATGGCTTAGTACTGTGGCAATAACAAGATGAGTTCTGTTAGCAGGGGATGGCAGGACCAATTCATCCCACTGAGAATTGCCAGCTCTGAGTTCACATTGCAGAAAGTCGTGTGAATGAATTAAGTCATAGCAACAGTTCAAGCTGTCACACTTTCCTTGAGCTGAGTGCTGTGGGGTCACAGGCAATATCCTGTAAGCCCCATTTGCTCCTTGCACCATTGGCGAGAATACACTCTGCCAGAGTCCCACCTTCTCCCATTTGAAACTGGGTGCATTTGATGCCTCTAGGACTCAAATGAAGCCAGCTCTAGAGCAAAGACCTCATTACCTCGTGTGCCCTTAGGGCAAGGCCTTTCGACCAGCATGCCTTGCTGTGTGGCTGGCCACTGGACACGCCGCACCTCCTTGGCCTCGCAGAAGAGCTCTGGAGAGACGTGCTGATTGTTTGCTGGTGGACGGCGGGTGCTGGGCATTATGGCGGTGACTGGGTGAAGCTCTGTACCCTTCTGGTTTATGGCACCTATGGGGTGGGTGGTGAGGGGCACCTGCCGTGTTGTTGTTGTAGCGGCAGGTGAGACTGTGCTGGTGATGGTGGTGGGACGAACGGTGGTTGTAGTGCTGAGGGGTGTCGAGGTGACAGGGCCTGTGGGTGGAAAGGCAAATAGATTTCCACCCCCATACAAAATATCCCCACAGGTTCAGCCACCACATGCTGCACACAGAGTAAAATTACCTTTTCTTATCCGAGGTAGAAAAACCAAAGAGTTGGACTCACTATAAGGCAGGTTCCTATGCTCTTAGGTAGTATTGGTTTTTGATTTGCATCAAAGCAAAGGTCTCTAACCAGTTAGCTTGACGAGTCCCTACTAAATTCTTCACATCTCTGAAAGTATATATCTGCCAGGTCCTTCCTGAAGGGATGGGACACAAAGGGCTAAATCCTCACTTGCCATTTTAAATGTTAAAAGAAGTATTCATGAGCATGATGCTGAATGACATTTCCTCAGAACCAAATATTTTTAATTAATCAAATGCTCAATTTCAATGGAATTGTTTCTATCTGGGAAGTTTAGCAAAATTCTGTTCACTCTGAAAGTAATCACCTTTTGTTCTCTTTAACCTGACCAGGATTGGTACCTTGGCCAAACTCTTAAATCTCCAGCTGAAGTGGAAGAAAAGGCAGGTGCAGCTTCTCCTAACTATTCCACTCCAGAGCCCTGTTGTGCATACACACTCCAGCATCCGTTGTGCTTCCTGGCACACCTGGAGACCCGTTTGAAGGGGCCAGGCAGCAGGTCTAAGGAGGGGGTGGGTGGCAGGAGCTGTGACTGCCTTTCTTTTGCTACATTCCCAGGTTTAAAGGGCAACATCTGGTGACCAAGGTAAAAGAAGGCTACATTTCGCTCTTCCCCACCCCAACCCTGCAAGTAACCTGTGCATGCAAATGTAACCTTATTCAAGTTTAACCGTTAGTGTTGCACAGGCAGCAGCTGTGCAATGGGGGCGAACGGAGAAACAAATTAGCTGCATATTGCACTAAAGAAATCTGAATCTGCCACCGCACCTGGGCATGACTGATCTTGAATTTCCTGTATTCAAAATAAGCACAGATTTTCCCCCCTTCAGTCCAGCTTCAAGGAATTAGTTTTCGTAGACCCCAGGCTTCTGCCAAATATTGCACATCAGACAATCCATCTCTGTCAATTTAAACTCCACGTGATGCTAACTGTCAGAATTTCAGGCACACATTAATTCTTTTGGGGTCACAGAGAGTTTGAATTGAACTGAGCAGATTCTCTGATGCTTACTGTACGACTGGAACTAAAAGACCTGCTTGTGGCAAAATGGCAAAAATGAAATATATTTTCAAAAGCCAGCTTTGGGACTGAAGCCTTGCTTTGTAAGATGAACTTGCCATTATATAGTTGGATGTTTCCTGAAATGTGATGGATGGCAGAGGATGGCAGAGATATTGAACAGTAGACGTTGGGAGAGACAATGGCTCAATAACTTGAGATTGCTCGCCGAGTACCTTAAGAGTGTAAGTGCTGGTGGTTAGCTCAAGTGAAAATGTATCACTCTTAAGCAGTACATTTGGGGTTGCCTATACATAATCTTTAGTATAATGTATATATTTTAAATATACATGTATTTAAGAAGTAATTTCAAGTGAATGCTGTATTTGCATAAATGTACAATTAAAAATAAAGGGACGCGGGTGGCGCTGTGGGTAAAAGCCTCAGCGCCTAGGGCTTGCCGATCGAAAGGTCGGCGGTTCGAATCCCCGCGGCAGGGTGCGCTCCCGTCGCTCGGTCCCAGCGCCTGCCAACCTAGCAGTTCGAAAGCACCCCCGGGTGCAAGTAGATAAATAGGGACCGCTTACTAGCGGGAAGGTAAACGGCGTTTCCGTGTGCGGCTCTGGCTCGCCAGAGCAGTGATGTCACGCTGGCCACGTGACCCGGAAGTGTCTCCGGACAGCGCTGGCCCCCGGCCTCTTGAGTGAGATGGGTGCACAACCCCAGAGTCTGTCAAGACTGGCCCGTACGGGCAGGGGTACCTTTACCTTTACCTTTTACAATTAAAAATGGGCATTAAGCAAATGAACACAGCTTTTTTTGTCCCCTAATGTATTTGACAACCCAATGGAAAATGGGAGGAGAAGCCAAGGGCCCATGATTTCAAGTCAGTGATGATTTCTCTACCCCACCCCATGTTCAGGTGCAAGGATTATGTCTCACCAGTACTTGGGTCAGGTGGGCCAAACTCAAGTGAGTAGCGCAGGACAAAGTAGTTGTTCCACACATAAAGTTGGTTGTCACGGGGGTTGTAGTCAATGGAGGAGATGAACTGGTAGGGGTTTGGGAAGGTCAACGAGATGGGTTCCTCCCGGTTCATATTGGTGTTGAACGCATAGTCAACACGGTTACCAGCTGCTTCACTGTCATCGTCCACGTAAACTGTCCGCACCACATAGAGGACTCCGCACACCATGAAGGCATTGGATGCTGAGCGTTTGTCATAGCCGGTCTCCCACGTGCCCTCAAAGCGTAGCGTGTAAGGATTCAGCTGGCTCACCACTAACCGGCCATTGTTGCCTTCAGTGGCATAGATGACCCAAAGCCCATTTTCATCCACTGCCAGGTCAATGTCAGTCTTGCCACCCCAACGGTAGGGTGAGGTGTCATGGTAGTTGGCTGTGTTGATGACTGTCTCTCCACTCTTAATGCGCGTCCGCAGATCATACTTGATAATGTTGCGTGTCCGCTCCTTGTTGTAGAAGACTGCTCCATCATATACCACAAAACCTGTGCCGTCAACCCTGTTGGGCAGGCGGTAAGTGGTGGTGTGCCGGGCACCCACATAATCCTCCCACGAGGCATACTCTGTCAGTGTGTCTGTCCGGTATGGGATCCATGGCATGACGTATATTCTGTCTCCGGCTTGCAGAGGGTCCTTGCACCAGGCTCCAGACTGGTGCTCTGATTCATGGGCCGAGGTAGGTTCCAGGATCTTGTGCAGTGTCCCCGGGCAAACGAATACTAGGGAGGGGATGTAAGGGAGGAAAGGGTGATTGGGTAAAAGGGGGGAAATCCAGAAAGAATGTGATAGAGCAAGAGGGGAAAAAAGAAAAAGAGAAAGAGAGAAGAAAGGATAAATTTGTAAAAGGCTGTTGGCAGGAGAAGTGAAATCCGCGCTGAGTTTTGAGAGCAGCTGCAATCATGAGACTTTTATCTGTTATTGAGCAGAGACGGCTCAGTGACAAGTTAAATAAATACTGGGGGCAGGGGAGCATCAGAGGAAAGAAACAATTTCTCCAGATCAAATTAAAAAGGGAATTTAGGGGTTCCAAACCTTCCCTCCCTTCCTTTTGCTACATTCTCTGGCATTAAGCAGAGGATGTCAGATTGTTTCCCTGCAGAGATCTGAGTGGCAGCATCTGGGAAACCCATGAATCTGAGCAGGAGTGTTGCTGAACTGACAATTCTAGCCCCTACTCTCTGGTTGCATGTTCTGCATCACCTTCTAGAAGTCAACACAGCAACAGTTTAACCGCTTTGGGAAAGCAAATGGCACCAGCTAAACCCTGCATGATCTAAATCAGGTGCTCTACATTGGAGCAAATAGGGCATTACTACCTAATGGTATGGAAATCAAATTTTCAAAAATGAAGGGCTCAGTATGGAGCTGTGAGGCTGTTTGTCCTATGGGATCCATTGAGTAGTGTATGCTTATCTGGTCTGAGGGCCTGGTGGAGCCGAGTATTCTATGAGTCTCTCTAGAGGAGGGACATGTTTGTTGTTTACTCAACTGGACTCCTACAGAGTTTCTGTTCCACTTGATCTAGAAGCAGCTGGGGTTGCTTGTCCTATGGAGCTCCTTTAGAGCTGCAAAGGAGTACCTTTAAGGCTGGTAAGATGATCCAAAAGCTATCCTGTTCCATGTTCAAAGGGAATTACTGTTTCACTATGGATCAAGGCTAATTTATGCCAGCCGCCATGCAACACTTAAATTCCAGTTGTGTTAGCACTGAGACAGATGGAATTGGTCCCTATTTTTGCATCTGACTCTTATAGTTCTAATTTCTCTCAGGGATTTCTAATTCAATTTTAGAAACTTAAAGTGTTCTTGAAATAGCTGTTTCAACCCTTCCAACTTTCATGGAATGGATTAGATTTTTTTTAATTTTTTTTTGCAACTTTAGAACAGCTTTGTGGGAATGCCTTCCCATGGGGAGGGGGTGGAAAAGGTGAGGGGCTTCCAGCCCTAAATTTCCTCTACTGATATCAAAACACTGTTCAGCGGGACATTGGGGAATGAAAAACAAGCATAAGAAAGATCCAATGTTTGGCCAGTTAAAATCCCCCTGAATATGAAAGATTGGGTGTTTCCTCTTCCTGCTGAAAGAGACTATTTTTCAATCCCTGGGGACAGAGAGCTGTAGATTAGCTGAGGGACTGGATCCCTTCTGAAAAGAAGAACTAAAGGTATTGTAGCAGAAGGATGAAGTAACCAACAGCTTCTGCTTCCCCCATATCCTGAGTGCCACTGGAGCAACTTATCAGCCAGGTTTGATTCACATCAGCAAAGGACATGAGACTAGTGCACATGGCAGGGGGTGGAAGGAGTGATGTGACAGTGGGAGGGAGACCTGGGCAGATGGGAAAGGAAAGCCCTCCCTTCCACCCACAACCACCCAGTTGGCAGCCTGGAATCTTGGGAAAAGCCGGGAGGAAAAAGTTTGAAAGGAAGACAAATCAGGCTAGGCATTCTGCAAGTGTCTGCCTCCGGTTAGCTGGAGCAAGGCTGGGAGAAAAAAAGCATTTAGTGGTGGAAGGAGCAGGTGGGGTGGGGTGAGGAGAGCAGCATCATAGCAGAGAATTCACCTTGTCTATTACAGAACAGTGTCACTGAGCGGCCATAGAGGAGCCATAGGAGCCATCACACTAAATCCAGGCTGTGGGCTTTAAAAGGCTGCACAGTGTGCTTGTTAACCACGCCTCATGATATAGAGGCCAGTAAATTGGGTTTGCTGTCACAGTACAAGGGCCAGTGGGGTGGGGTGGAACCTGATCCCAAGCAACCCAGTTTCTGCTGGGGGCTGGCATACTGCTTCTGCGTGTGGGATCAAATATACTTCGCACTGAAGTGTCAGCAGGGTTTTACTTGGGCCTTGTATCAACTCCAGAATGTCTGGGATATTCTGTGAATGCAGAAGTGAATTCTCTGCTCTGGCTTTACTAAATAACGCACAGTTGCTATGATGTGCCACATGACTCTGGACACAGCTTGCACTGAAGCTTATTGGGGATGGGCATAATTTAGAGACTGCTCCCTTGTGCTGGGGTCAGTACCATCAAACCCTGTCACAACACACCTGGAAGTGGATGAGGTGTGCCAAGGGTTCCAAAATTAATGGCAAATCAGGAGGACGGGAATTGTCTGGCACCAGCCATGGGGGAGGAGAACAGCACTTTTTGCAATGCCAAGCCCCCACAGAGCATTTATTAATAACCGCCCCCTGCTCTCCCAGATCCAGACAGAACCTTTATGCTGCCATACCAGTACAAGTGGCCAGAGATGTGTTTCTCATCCACTTTTGCTTAAGTGAAGGGAGAGGACAAGGCAAACTTGGGTCTCATGACCCTGGCACAATCTACACTACAGTTAAGCAAGCTTAAGTCCCATAGAAACCAGTGGGATTTATGTGGGCTTAAGTGTATGCTAGATTGCTCCCATTGTTTCCAATGGTCACAGTCCTTGGGTAACCTCAGAGGGAGAAAGCAGGGCTGAGTCAGCAACCTGAGGAGTTCAATCTTATTCACAGTGTTTTGGTCTCCATGGAGATGGCATGTTGCATCCTTCTTAGCAATAATAAATGACTGATTTATTATAATTGTTGGAAAATTCTACATTCTAACTTTCGTGGTGATGGGGGAGTACTGGCACATGGAAGGGATAAGAGATGATTCACAGAGATGGACAATTGTTGGTCTGGAAGCCAGGAGTTTTTTGCTTCCAAACACCTTCTAACTAATTGACATTATTTGTCCTCTTGAGAGCTAGAGGCAGAACTCAGGAATCCTGGCTCAGAGAGACAGAAGTCCTTTGAGGCTTGCATTACACATTGCAATTTTAGTGGTGCAGCTTACAGATCCAAACTGAGTATCTGATAAAACCCTAACCTTTGAAAAGCTTGGAGGTCTTTTTGTTTTTTTTTTGTCCTCATATGTTCCACTATGGGGCCGTAATGCAAGGAGCTGCCTAGCCTTCCCTCCTTTAACTTGTTTTAAAGAATGCATGGATGAAATAGGCCAAGGAGGACGGGTTGTAAATTACTTGTCTTTCCCCCCTTAATTAGGAAGAAAGAGAGTTTATCAATCCTAGTATACTAGGTGTGCAGAGATCATCTATTTAGTCCCCTTGCATAAAACAGTACGGCTATCTGATATGGTCTGTGGTGCAGAGGGATGTAAAGTGATGGATGGGTTCACTAGTGAATGACAGCGAGTCAGGGGGAAGGGGAGCTGCCTAGCCTAAATGTTAATGACAAGGTCTGTTAAAGATCCCTGTAGTGTTTTCTGGTGTGACTCATCAGACAAGAACAGCTTAATGTGGAGCAGTTGGATTTTGTAGTGCTGCAAGGTGTCCCTTGTGTTAGCTATTTATCTCTGTCTAGTCTGTAGTTCTCAAACTTTGTCATAGTGAGTCTCTTTCAAGTCAAAATAAAAAGCGTTCAAGACTCACTAAGTGGCCGCCTCAAAGGTTTTATTTTTATTGGCACCGGTCTCAAGCCGTAGCTCTTAAGACTGTGCCAGTGTCACTTTACAGTGGCTGGATGCACATGCCACTTTCATGTTTGTGACACCTGTATCCTCCCTCACACACAACACACACCCGTTTCTGCACCTTTCCAAAGGCCACATTCCACAAGCCAATAACAGGGCAAAATTGTTGGCTTTTGTGGGACTTGAGGCCAGAAGATGGTCTACGGCTGAAGTGAAATACAGTACTGTTAAACAAGCTGCCCATGGGTGTGAAGGAACCTCCAGATCAATGCTGGGAAAAGAGAGGATTTGACCAAGTTGGTCAAAGTGGCTGGCCTGCTAACTTTATCACTCTCTTATCATGACCCCTCATTTATTTTCCTTCAGAAAGGAAGGTCATTCCTTTTCCTTACTGGGAAGAGGAAATGTTTGAATCCCCAGGTCAGTAGAGCTCCCCTCCCTATTTCCCGGGGGATCAAAGCTGCCACATGGCCAGGGACCCATCTTATATCATGCCCATACCCATCCAATTCTCCCTGCAAATTGATGGTCATGCTTCAGGGAAACAGCTCGGAACTGAAAAAATCATCATCATCAAGCCAGGGTGTGGAGCCTGAACCTGTGAGCTCCGGCAGTCATGGTTTGTCAGTAAAAAAATAACAAAAAATTGTCCAGTGGCACCTTAGAGACCAACTAAGTTTGTTCTGGGTATAAGCTGGGTATCTGAAGAACTGTGCATGCACACGAAAGCTTATACCCAGAACAAACTTAGTTGGTCTCTAAGGTGCCACTGGACAATTTTTTAATTTTTAATTATTTATTTATTTCGACTGCGTCAGACCAACATGGCTACCTACCTGAATCTAGAATCATGGTTTGTCAGCTTATTCTTTCATTTCCTAAAGCCCTCTATGGTTCTTTCTCTCTAGTCTCACAGGCTTCTCTATCTATAGATATCCACCTGAGTGGAAAATACAGGGGATGCAACCACCATCCCAGTAACCTAGATGTAGCTCACCTAAATACTGTGCCATGAACTGCAGAGTTTTCTCATTTCTCTCTCAAGGTCAAGCTTTCTATTGCTTTGGTTGGGAAGGAGCAGCATTAGAGTGAATAGGCTGTCTGGAGCCACTCTCTGATTAGCTTCCTCAAAGTGTACTCTTAGGACCAGTTAAGGACAGCAGTGGCTTGGCAAGAGAGAGGAAGTCTCCAGAATGGAAACAGCAATGTTTGCCATAATTCAGTGCATGTGCCCAGAGGCTGCGTGTAGAGTTGCCAAAGGGTGAAGGTCTAGTCAGTGGACACCCAGGATGTGCTCGTGGAGATGGAGCCACATTTCTATTTCTGTAGATGCTTTCAGGAGCATGTGAACTTTGCTTTAAAGCAAACTTTGCTTTAAAGCTGAAGCACTCAAGGTGAAGGTGGCTAGTGTTGTCTTATGGATTTGTATGTGTATAGATGGCATTTGTTTGCTCCTGAATGTGTGTTAGAATAAAATCATAGAGTTGGAATAGACCACAAGGGCCATCGAGTCCAACCCCCTGCCAAGCAGTTAAATGCATCTGTGTTTGTGCTATCAAGTGCATGTGTTTAATCATCTATCTCTATCTTTTTCTGAATGTAGAGCTATCAATATGGCTGTGTTCATGTGGACTTTTCTATGCATTACTTTTGGTTCCTTGGGTGACTGTTACTGCTGTGTGATTAGTGTGTCTCTATGGCTTACATTGCACAAATACACCTCTGTGCTATTTTTATGTACGTGCCACCCTCTCTTGCCTACGTATGATGAGCTGAGGACACAGATGGGCAGCTGGATGGGAGCAAAATCCAAGAGATTTCAGATTTCTAATCCTGCCTAACGCCTGCCTGCTCTGAACACCTTGCCTGACAATGTCGCTACAAAGCAGCTTCATGGAGTCTCACAGGTTCGGCTCAGCCCAGCTTCCCATCTGGGTTGGTGGGGTGGGATGGATGACTCCTGGCAGCGGGGAGGAGAAACACACCATTAAAGAATGAAGCGCTGGCGAGGGGGGGACAGCACAAAGCGTTAACTGGTTCCGATCCCTCATGGATGGGGCAGTGTCGACTCAGCCTTCTAAGTCGGGATGGGGGCAACTGTGCTCTGGGGTTGGGGGAGAAGATGTCAGAAACAGAGAAGGAAACAATCAGTAAAAATCCACATCCAAAACCATGGAAACCTGTGGAAAAGAAAAGTATAAGTATATGCCTCCATCCCCAATCTTGGGAAAAAATTCCAAACCAATGCAGGGGGGAAAAAATCAACAGTGCTTTTAGAACAAACTAAACAGAGAGAAAGAGAGAGAGAGCGAAAGAAAGAAAAAGAGAGAGACATGGGTTGGGTGGAATCAAGCCTGGCTTTTGAGTTTTACTACTCTGAAATTAATTAATTTGCTCAATTCCTAGCGCTAACCTGACAGCTTGTCCCTTGTTAAGACAGGCTCATTGCAGTTGTGAGTCCTGATACTTACATTAGGTATATAACCTCCAGATCTAGCCAAGACATTCAAATTAAAAATACATTGACTCACCCCCATTCTTTCATGCACCACCCCCATCTTCCCCCAATAACAGACAGATAGTCAATGATCATGACTGCAGCTTTCTTTAAAAAAAAAAAACCAAAACAGGCAGAAAAGGGGGAAAAGATCCACAAATAAAATCACCCAGGATTGATCAGGAATTTTAAAAGAAAAGAAAGAAAAAGAAACAGTAAGCAAGAAAATTAAAAATTCCCACATCAAAGTGGTTAGTATATTGGTATAATTAATGTATATGTATTCTAGAAAATGTTATTTTCTATGGGTTTATCTGATTCTCACATTATCATGATAGTAGAGCAGAGAAAAAGAGTTAAGAAAAGAGAAATAGGCCCTTCAAGACATGTCAGAACATTACTTGGAGGTTGGGTGTGTGTGGAATGACTCAATTGAAAAAAATAGCTGGGGGATTCTCTCCAAAGAAGTGCCTAAGCTTAGGGTAAAATTCCCACTAAAAGATGGATCACAAGGGGAATAACTGATGCTCAGTTTTATCCACACATTTGTTTCACTTTGATTTTCAGACAGTAGTAGATAACAAAGCTACCCTGGTTAAAAGTGGCACCACTCAGCATGTGCAACTGAATGTTCCTCACATAAAAGTGAGTCCACAAACAATAATGTATTAAATATGGTGAGAGGCTCAAAAGAGGACCCCTGCTCTACTCAATAACTGAGAAAAAAGGTGTTTTGTTCTGTGCCTTACATCCTGATCCTGAACACATAGCTTTGGGAGTGGCGGGGGAGGGGAGCCCCACTGATTGCAGTGTATAGGATCTAAGATGTACATTTCCACTGCAATCTTACAGGCTGCTTAAAGCCAGAATGGTGCCTTGATAAAAATTAAAACAAAGTTCTAAGTATGTAACAATCTCGAAAAATGTGGAGGAAGGCCTGGAAGTATCATTTGAAAGTGCCCAAAATAAAAAAATAAAAATAAAAACATACCCTCCCCCTTGTTCTTCTGTACTGTGGCACATTTTTATATGTAAATCCCATAAAATTTCAAGCATTTATTTTTAAAAAATCAGGAATTGGGATTAGAAAAAAAGAAAAAGAAAAAGAAAGAGAGAAGTTGTGGTTGAGGTAGGCCAAGGTACCCAGTTGGTTGCCATGGAAACACGAAGAAAGGAGCAGAGAGAATCAGTTGAATGATAAAAGACGCAGAGAACGGGTTGGAAAAAGTGTATTTCCCCTGAAGGAAGCAAAACCAGAGAGAGGACCCAGACATTAATGGTGCTTCCACTCCACATGTGAGCAAGGAGAAATGGAAAAGGTTTGGAAGGGCAGTTGTTAGATGGGTTACTTTATATCCTTTATTTGCTGAGTGCTGTTTAGTTATTGGAAGCTTTGTTTCTGGACAGGGAGGGGGATGCCAATTGGAATTAGTGAGACCAGAGAGAGAAGAGGTGGGGAAACCAAGGGGAGGGGAGGTGGGAGGTTAGGAGGAGGAGGATTGAGGAGAAAAGGTAAAGGAAGGTCACATTAAATATGGCCACAGAGAAAAAACAAGGTGCTGGGTTAGGGGTGGGGTCAGTGGTAATGTTGTTGTTTACCTTTCTGTTCCACTTCTACTTTATGCATCGGAAGGGAGAGAAGAAAAATATATTGAAAAAAAAAGGTGCAAGAAGGAAAAAAAAGAGAAAAGAGATTAAATTGCTTTTGTTTCTCCCCGCACCCTAAAGAAACCATTTTTTCTTTCTTTCTTAAACTGTAAATCTCCCCTCCCCTCCCCCCACCAGCCCAACAAACACCAGCCCCTCCCGCTTTGGAATCATTTCAAGGCAGAGAGCGTGTTGGGTTTGGTGGTGGTAGTTGTACTTTTTCATTTCTTTTTCGTCTGATCGGTTTGAGGTTTACAGTTTTTGGAGGTTTTTTTGTTGCTTTTTAAATTTTGTGCTGGCGACATTGCCCTTCAGAAGAAAAGTCAGAAATCAAAACCAACCAGAAAGGACGACAAAGGAACAAAACACAAAAGGGGTTTGGTTGCTGGCTCAAAGCATTTTGGCAGGGAGGAAGGTGGGGTTGGGGGAAAGGTAGGATCAGGGAGAGCAAGCAGAAAAGGGAGAAAGGAAAAGAGCAAGAGTTTGAAAAGAAAAATATCCCAGAATACCCTTTTCTCCCTAAGAAAGGCTTGACCTATCATGACCATAAATGCATTGCCTATCCAGTTCACTCCCACATCAATGAGCCTATTTATCTATCTGTAAATCCTCCCATGTTTCTATTCCTTTGCTCCAACTCATAATTACTGTGTACTATATTCATAAATACACATATCCTTATCTCACTACCTTTTTTACCCTAGCAGTTGCGTAACTTGCAGCTGTTGATGTCAATGCTGATGTATAAGGTGCTGTCTTAAACAGAGCCAGTCCAACACTGACTAGCAGCAGCTCTGCAGGGCCACTTAGGGGGGGAAAGTCAATTCGAGTCCTAAAAACTAGGGACTTCAAGGACTGGACCCCTAGAACTTTATGAATACAGAACAAATCATGAACTCTGACCCCGCTGCTATTACATGCAGATTATATCCCCAATTAGATAGCTTTTCAAATCACATCGTCTTCTTCAAAAATAAAATATGCCACTATTTAAGACACTGGAAGTAGTCCTTTGCTTTGCTCTCTCTGGGTGTGTCCAATTATTTATATGGAACAATATGAGTGTCTTTTCCTTTACTGAGCCACTAGTCCTGATCCAAAACCGATATCTTTACAACTATACAAATACCATGAAGAGAAGCAGAGTGGGAGTCAATTTTTCCTGTTTCTTACAGCAATTTCCCCTACATCCCGTTCAAATCCCAAATAGTGAAATCAGCTAGACTAGGCATAGGCAAACTTGGCCCTCCAGATGTTTTGAGACTACAATTCCCATCATCCCTGACCACTGGTCCTGTTAGCTAGGGATGATGGGAGTTGTAGTCCCAAAACATCTGGAGGGCCGAGCTTGCCTATGCCTGAACTAGACCATGTTGCAAAGTTTTTGGTCTAGTCAATTTTACCCCTAAGGTATATTGCCCTTTTATTCCTTTTTAAAGGGCTAGATTAGTCATCTTTTATTATTATTATTATTATTATTATTATTATTATTATTTATTACTTATTGTTGTGGGTGTTGTTATGGTTATCTTTATTATTTTAGGATACATTTTAAAGTGCTTTCAAAACCTGCAAAGCTTGTTTGACTAGGGTCCGTGGTGAAGCACAAAAACTGACGTATACAGCTCTGCAACACTGTCTACAAGTTTTTTAACAGTTAAAATCTGTACATCGCCAGGGAGTGGGAAGGTGTTGGGAGTGATCATGTTGATGACCCAAGTCTTCTAACCATTCCACAGTGAAGCAATGCTCTATCCATTGGCAAATCCCCCAGAGCCATAAAAAATCAATCAGGATCCACCAGCCTCTGAGGACAGATCATACGGTCCCTCATCATTGCAGACGGGAATACTTGCTGCAAGACCAAACTTCACTAGATAGTGGCTGGATCATGGCAATGGGATAATATCCACTCCACTTCCAGACAATCTACCTCCCAATTTGGAGGAAAGAACATGTCAAGGGTATGTCCTGCTGTGTGTTAGACTTATGACTATTGGAGACAGTCCCATGGTTGCCATGAAGACCACAAAATCCTGAGCTAGACCCAAAGCATCCTCAGCATGGATGTTATAGGGCTGCTATGTCCGGAATTCCCTGGACATAGTCAGGATTTGCCCTTCAAACAAGGCATCTGGGCAGAATATTCGGAAGCCTCTTAAAATGTCAGGGAAAACCCAGTCCGAATTTCCACTTGTTGAAATATGGCAATCCTAATGTTGAAATCACCAATGACCACATTGGCCAGCCCAGTCAGGAAGGCTGCTGGGCAGCAGGGGAGTGGCAAAATAACACCATCCCTGGTCTGTCTCTTTGGCCCAGCACCAAATTCAGGCCTCTCACAGTTCTGCTCCAAAGAAGAGGGCTTTTTTTTGGTAATGGAGAATAAACTGCTGAACCACAACGACCCTCCTATCTCATCACTCCAGTCTAGCTTCGTACTGCACAATTTTGTTGATAAAATTGGAGCAGGCATTCTCCTTCACTATCCATTATAGAGTCCAGGATACCAGTTGTCTCAAGGAGCCCAAGATAGAAGGCAGACTACTTTCCCCAACAAATTGCACTTCTAAGCCTGTATCTTGCTGCAGGGGTAGCCAATACTGTGTCTTCTAGATGCTGTTGAACAACTCTCATCAGCCCCAGTCAGCAGGGCCAATGGTCAGAGATGATGGGAGCTGTAGTCCAACAAATATCTGAAGAGCACCACACTGGCTACGTTATTGGAATTCTAGTGGAATTTAGAGAAGCAAAAATGAAATATTCCAGGCAGCTCTTAGGAACTTTCCAGGGATCAGACATGATCAGGATTTATGTCATATATGTGATTGGAAGGATCAGGATGCTTTCTATGAGCAAAAATCAAGCTTTGGTGAGACTAGACATAGCTACTAGAACCGGCCAAAAGTGGTAGAGACTGAGGGATCGATTGGTTGATAATTTAAACAGAAGCTCTGCTGATCCCAGTAACTTTGAATGTTCTTCCACAGTCCTCCACATTGTGTCATGGTAATACTATATGAAAAAAATTGGCAGAGGCACAAAAAAGGAGATGTTAGAAACAACATGTCTCCACTCTCTGCAGCAATTGTTACAACACAAAGTAAGAAGCAAAATGAAGGATGTGAAAGCATACTGTTCCCAAACCTGTGCAGCTGCAGGCACAACAATCACACTAACCACTAGTGATCTATCGGTTGCCAACACACAACTGGCTCATACTGCAATCCAGATTGTATGGAACAGCTGTGCATTGTTGTGTAGAACAGGTAACATGGGTTTGCTCCAGTAAGCTAGCCTGAGAAGGGGTATAAAAGTATGTCAGATGTAAACATGACTTTAGAAGACTACAGAAATTCATGGAGGATAAATAAATGGCTATTGGCCATCGTAACTAAAATAAATCTTCAGGTTCAGTGGTGGTGATCCTTCAAGTACAAATTGCCAGGCAAAGAGCTGTTGCCTACAAGCCCTTATGGGCATCCTGGTAGCATCTGGCCTAAGTAGAAAACACTTTAGGATGGTAGACTAAATGGAACATTGGTCTGGCCTGGACTTAACTAACTTGGCATACTAGCAGAAAGCTGCATAAGGGATTCTGCTAGTGCAGTGAGGTTTCCCTTTTCTCCTGTTTGATGTTTTATTGTATTTTTAATATTTGGTTGGAAGCCACCCAGAGTGGCTGGGGAAGCCCAGGCCAGATTGGCAGGGTATAAATAATTTTTTTGAATTTATTATTTTATTAATTATCATCATCATCATCATCATCATCCCTCCACGCTGGTCAGAAAAGCACAGTGCTGAATTCCTCCCTATATTCCTTCAGGTCTCTGCTTATGCTCTTATGTAAGAAGATTATAGTGGAGCTCCTGCTGATTTGGTGTTAACAATAGTAGTACAAGTGGGCAGGATTGCTGGAGGCTGATTTAGAAAAGAATCATAGAATCCTAGTTGAAATTTTCCTCAGAATTCATGAAAAAAGCAAACTTTGATAAGATCAGAAAAATTGGCACAGCCCCGGAAGGAAATGGAATGATTGCCCAGTGCACAAAAGAGCATTCCAATAAATTCCTTGTACATTAATACAAATTTTACTGTGTGCATACAGTCCACCAACCAGTCATCAGAGGTAAGCAAAGTAATCAACATCCTTACTATTATTTTGCTATTGATAATTTCCTGTTATGGTTCATTGATGAGTCCATCTTAGAACACTGAAGAAAACTCAGGATTTTATATGTGGTGTTTTATATTGGAAACTTCAGGGACCACTGCATGGCCCCAGATGACTGGAAAAGAGATATAAAGAGGATATACTATTTGACTCTCATGGTATCCTCAAACTCTGCCTCCCATATCCTCTTTTGAGGGTGTTGTTTGTATTCATTATGAAGGGTTAACTTCATCCTCCATTTGCAGGGAAGCAGAGGATTTCTCACACTCAGGGTTACCATTAAATGATACCCAGCAGCTAAGAAATAAAATGTATTCTTTAAAACCCTTAAAATGTTTTAAACAAATTTGTGATTTGAGGATTTTATTCAGTTTCTGAAGGACTTTGTGACTTTGGTGACATCTTAACATTAAAATGAACCCAGACAGAATATTTTTCTTGTCCGGGTCAGTGAGGCCCTGGAAAGTTAGAAAAGGAGTTGATGCCAGGAGTCAGAATAAACATACAAGTGATACCAGATTTGTGCTGACTTGTACATAATTTGGACTGAGTAAAGGAATGAAAAATTAAATAGACAAGCCGTTTTGTGGCTCAGAAGACCAGAACTTCATTTCATGATTTACCAGAGTGTCACCATATAACCATCATTTATGATCATATGTGGACTTGAGCTCTCCATGTATGTAAAGGAGATAACGGCTCTGGATTGCTTTAGGGGATATGTATAAAAATGAATCTTTATAAGACTATGATTTATTGAGAAACTGAAGCAAGCAGGGTCATGGATGCCAGACAG